AAGCAAAGGAGGAGTCCAGCATCTCTTAAAACACAAAAATCCTATCTTCATACAACTTTGTGTTTGCCATTCTTGCTTCTAAAGCCTGCACTGCACTGCCACATTATTTAGAAGAGTTAGCCAGAAATATTTTTTCATATTTGAGCGATAGTCCTAAGCGCCTAAATGAATATAAAGAATTTCAAACATTTACAAATACCAATCCTCAAAAAATTCTCCACATTAGCTGCACAAGATGGCTTTCCCTTGAGCAAGTGGTGAAAAGAATTTTAGAACAATGGCCTGCACTTTTATTGTTCTTTACATCTGCTGCATTAGAAGATGGCATTCCTATGGCTTCAAGAATTCTAGAGAGATTACAAAATCCCATTATAAAAATGTATTATGCTTTCTTAGCTTACACTTTGCCTGACGTCAATAAGCTCAATTTGGAGTATCAAGCAGAAACATTTAGAATTCATAAGTTAAAGAATTCTATTAATACTAGTGTTAAAGGGATTCTCAGTAATTTCATCAAGCGAGAAAATTTGAAACCTAATGATATAAGTAAAATCAATATTAATGATCCTTCACCATCTCAGGATAGATGACATTTATTGTGGTGCCACTGTAGAAAGCATTTACCTGGATAATTCAACAAAAATTTCCCAGAAAGAATGCCAAGAATTTTGAGCAAAAATTTTAAATTTCTATGTTTGCCTTACAAAGCAGATGTTTCAGCTCTTTTTATCTTGTGAATTGTTTGCAAAATTGGAGTTGCTTGAGGCATTGGACCCAGCTAATGTTATTGAGGGAAGGCCTAAATCAATTATCCCACTAGTTATGAAATTTTCTAACCTAGTCGATGAAGAACATTATGAACAAATTAATAAAGAATGGAGAGAGCTGACAATGCAAGATCAACCTCCTAATGCTGAAAAAATGCCTAAAAAATTTTTGGTTTCACATATCTCAGGAAAAATGCAGTGACAAATATCGCTTCTCTCTGTTGTCAAAATTTATGATCAATCTTCTTTCATTGCCTCACTCTTCAGCAGCTGCTGAAAGTTTTCTCCTTACTCAACAACATTAAAGTTAAAAATCGCGCATCTCTGAAAACGTCCACCTTAAAGGCGTTAATAAGATCTAAATCTTTACTTCAAGACATTAACTGCACAACGTGGAATCCACCAAAAGAGCTTTGTGATAGAATGCAACATAAAAGATGGTATAGTAACGAAGCAGTTGACAAAAGAGTTCTCTTTTAACAAAATATAAAGGTAAGTTGAATGTATTTCCTCCATTTCGATGTTTTAGTAAGATGTAATGTAACTTAAATGTATTTTTTCCTGTTTAAGATGTTTTATAGGGTTTATATACTGATGTTTAAAATTTGGTACGTTTGTGTGTGTTTTGGTACCTTTTCACGAAAAGTTTGGTACTATTACAAAATAAATTTTGGCAGCCCTGCCTGAGAGGTATGGAGGAATTGGCTTTGCTAGTTATTCATTGCTGTAAGTAAAATGTGTAGAAGTATTTTTTTTAACCCTAAGGCTTCTCACATACTCAGAAAATATTCTGGGAGTGGAATAGGTGTGTAGTGAACAAAGAGGAAATTGGAAGTAAAAAAGAAAAATGAATTTAGTGACATTCAGGGTAGTTTTTCTTTATTTTGTAGTTTGAA